TGGTACAATACAGCCTTGTGGTTACAGAAATACTAGAGAGGAGGTATCTATTTAAGTTTGACTGAGTTACTAAGTCAGAAACTATTTCCTACTACCTGCTGTATCAAACTTCTCCGATATTATTCTATTCATCTACTATAATGAATATCTGATGTTTCTATGGAAATTTAATTCCTCAGTCTCCCATTTAAATTCTTTTTTATATATCTGGCACAAGACCACCATCCTCTCCCTTGGCCTCTGAAATACTATGCTCTACTCTTTATTCTTTCTACAATCAGAGAAGTTCTGATCTGATAAGTCTGCTCAGAAATCCAGGCAGTTCACTGAGCCAAAAAATTTCTATTATGTCAGATGCATAAACTCTTGTTTCAACATGGTCTCTATCTTTATTACAATCCTGCAAAGAGTAAAAGAACACCAAGATTTCTAAAACTGCTTACTTTGCCTTCGGAAGGTTACCAAGGCTTGTCATTAATTTTGTAATAAAAACTTTTCCTTGTCCATGCTAGTCCTGTGTTTCTGAGGCAGAACATGAAAACCCAAGGATTCAGCTATAGTTTTTCAGCTTCTACAATCTCCCAAAGTTTTTCTTCCTTAATGATTATTTTCCAGATCTTGTGTCTCATGTTTGCTGATACCACTTAAGTAATAGGTTCTACAGAAGACTCCATTTCTTAGATAGCTAATTCTCCCAGGGATTCACAATAAGTATTTTTTTATTAATAGCAGCTTTTTGTAAGAAATGTTATATTGTCCCAGGTCAGCCTTTGGTGAGAGGCACTAAACAGCATGAAATCCAAACATTAAATATGTCAGAGACATAGGCAAGAATTGTGCAGCAAGTTCCAAGGGCAATAAAGGGTCAGTTCAAGTACTGTGAACTTTGTCAAGTAGTGCCCTCAAAAGGCTTGGCATTGCCATTGAACCATACAAAGGAAAAGACTGAGGCCCAGTTTGTTATGACATGGACTCTTGGCTTAAGATCATTGCAACCAGTCACAGATGTTGGGAAGAACAGAAACCCAATAGAGTAGGAATGTTTGCTTTGCTTCTGACAAAGTTGTGCAAAGGTTCTGTCAGAAGGCAATCTCAGAGATGAGGACAAGTGGGATCTTACCTGATTGTGGCTTTACTAACACAGCACTTGGTTTCAAGAGAAAGTCCCATGCTTACTATCCACTAATGCCTATTTAGAATGGGCTCTTGTTCCGGGCTATGATTCTTGAAGTAGTGGTAGTAGTAATAAAAGCTGTCTATCCTATAGTCACCTGAGGTATTGACGGGGTGGATAAACACACAGGCACATCAATCTGTGCTGTCTCAAGAATGATCCAAGGAACATATTACAGCTGGTAATCATGTAGACAGACACATAACTCCATCACACCAGGAAGTTAGTCTCTGGTGCTAGGTAGCTACACAACTATGCCTGTGATCACTCAGTGATAGCTGTGTATGGTTCACTGTTGGCTGATGAGTGATGGAAACAGCTCTTTAGCCATCAAGACAAATGTTAAACTGCGTCTTAAACCCAATTTTTAAAAAAGTGCTTGGTTACTCTCATAACATTTGTGCCACTATTGCACCTGTGACATAACTTTTTCCATTATAATTTTTATTATTTAAAACAATTTTTAAATTTAAATATGCTTTTATCATTTTCTTAACCTCCCTCAAATCCTTCCAGATCCTCTTTCTTTGTTACCCATCCAACATTAAGTTCTTTCTCAAAAACCAAACAAAAGTTCAATACAACAAATGACCCTCAATCAAGAAAGCACAATAAAACTGTTCCTAAAAAAAACAAGAAAAACAAAATAACAAAAACTCTCCAAAGTATAACCCTATGAAAGTACCCCACAAAACTGTAGAGTCAGCTACTCCTGAACATGAGGCCTGTCCTGTAGTAGTTGAGAGTGGTGTCACTCTCTTGGAGAAAATTGATTTTCTCATTCTCAGCAATTATAAGTGATAATTCAGTTATTGATATTACCCTAGTGGTTAGGTTTTCATGCATTCATTTAAAAAGTATGTAACAAAATAATTTATAGTAAGATAAAGCAAAATGATCACCTTTAAGCTAAGAAAGACAAAAATCAGAAGGAAAAGATGTGGAGACCCTTGCAGGCATCATATCCAGTAGCAGAATCATCCTCCAAGAGGTAAGAATGAAAGCTCAGATCAGGTTGTCTTTGTCAGACTGGATCAACCTTTGAGAGTCTGATACTAGGTGGTTTAATGCTAGCACATTCAAACATAATACAATTTGGGGGAAAGTTTCCTGGTATATGATTTCTGGTGCAGAAGGAGGTATAATTACATCCAAATTCAATTCAAAGTACATTTCATTTCTCCCAAGAAAATGAATGGTAGAGATAGCAGCCACTAAACTGGAAGCCATAATAAATATTCAGAGGACCTAGTGCAGACCTATACATGATGTCTTGGTTTTTGTGTGTTCATATGAGCATTGTTCATGTTGATTTAGAAGGCTATGTTTTCTTGGTGCCCTCCATCCCCTCTGGCTCTTACACTCTTTCTCCTCCTCTTCTGGGGAGACAGTGGTCCCGGAGCTACGAGGGGAGGGATTTGATGGACATTTCCCACTTAAAACTACATGTTCCAAGTCTCTCAGTCTCCGCATATTGTCTGATTGTAGGTGTCTATATTAGTTCCTATCTGCTGCAGGAGGAAAATTCTCTAATGATAGCTGAACAAGGCACTAAGTATAGCAGAATATCACTAGGAGTCATTTCATCACTCCATTTCTTTTCTTTTTCTTGTTTTTAAATTTTAAGACAAGTATTATTTGATTTTACCCCAGGTCCCTGTACTACTTCATCTCAGGTTTTTGGTCTCCCAGGTATGGGTTCCATCTGGTGGAGTAGGTCTTACGTCAAATCAGTTATTGGTTTGTACCACCAAAACTCTATCACGCAGATAATAGACCATTGTAGGTAAAGATTTTGTGGTTGACTTAGTAATTTTCTCTCTCTTTTGAGAGCATGCAGAGCTCCTGTACCAAAGACACTGGGATGTAAGAGTGAAAGCTCTACATAGGCACCAGCTCAACAACACCATGTTCAATGAGTTGTGTATGTGTTGTCTTCATCAATGTGGCCTTGCTGTCAGTTTGTGGAGAAAAACCTATAGTCATGGGAATGGTCTGGATTGTTTGGGTATTTCCATGGGGTCTCTTTGGTCAACAACTCAATTTGATATAACTCAATTCCAGTATTGGGTACTGGAAGCTTAATTTGCTGACAAGAGAGAGCCAACTGTGGCTATGTTTCCCCCATTAGTTGGCAATTTATTAAGATCATCTTCATATATTTTATTCATGTTATTATGTATATATTTCAGGAAGTTGTTACCAGTGCCTTCTTTGGCAGACAGATTGCTACTGCAATTCAGGTGTTTGCAGCTGAGTGAGGTTATTACTTTTCTCTTATGATATTGTCTATATGTAGAGGGAGCATTATTAACTCTAGTTAGTAGTGGTCAAGTTTCTAGTTGAGTATCAGCTTAATTTCTCCACGATCAATGATATTAATATGTGGCATCGTCAGCCACATGGTCTTGCCATCATATCTTGAAAGGTAACCAATTGCATTTACAGTAGCCTGTTAGGTTTGTGGGGGAATCCATAGGACAGCTTTGATTTAAACTCAAAAAGATTTAACCCTTTCCTGTTGCTGGGCATGTTACCTGATTGTAAAGGTTTAATTTGGTAATATATGATATCTAGGTGGTGAATTATCTCCCTTAATCTGGTTAACTCCGTGTAAAATTTATACACATACACACACACGATACACAGAGTTATTAGCTCTGTGTATCCAGTATCAACTTATATCTATATAAAGATATATGGATTTTATCTAGGAAATATATATATAATAACATATATATTGCTGTAGATACTTCTCATATATAATATCGATTAAAAGTGGTTTCCATATGACTTTTTTGTTTGTTTGTTTTTCGAGACAGAGTTCCTCTGTAGCTTTGAAACCTGTCCTGGAACTAGCTCTTGCAGACCAGCTGGCCTCGAACTCACAAACATCCACCTGCCTCTGCCTTCCAAGGGCTGGGATTAAAGGTGTGTGACACCACTGCCCAGCCCATATGACTTTTCAGATGTTTTTTAAAACTAATACCCACATTCCATCCTCAACTCTGCTCTCCCATACCCTTTCCTAGTTAATCCTCCTATTGTAGTTTCCCCTTTATCCCTTTATAACGTTATATTCTATTTTTCCTTTCTCAAGAGATTCTCTTCTCTGCCCTGTACCTTACTGGCTACCTAACTTTCATGGAATTTTCTTTAGGAAAAAAAATGAAAATAGAAAGATAATATCTTTACGTTAGGGTTTTTAGTGCTATCATGAAACACCATGACTGAATTTACTCGGGGAGGAAAGGGTTAATCAGATTACACTTCCACAACACTGTTCATCATCAAAAGAAATCAGAACAGTAATTCAAACAGCACAATCCTGGAGGCAGGAACTGATGCAGAGGCCATGAAGGTGAGTTGCTCACTGGTTTGCTCCCCACGCCTTGCTCAGCATGCTTTCTTATAGAACCCAGAACCACCTGACCAGGGATGGCACCACCCATGATGGGCTGGGTTCTACCCATCAATCATGAATTAAGAAAATGGCCTACAGACTTCCCTATAGCCCTGATCATATGGAGGCATTTTCTTCATTGAGGTTCTCCCCTCTCAGATAACTATAGTTTGTGTCAAGTTCAAATAAATCTGGCCAACAGAATATCGAAATTTGAAATAGTAAAATGGACAAAATTTGGGCAAAATAAATTAGGAAAATAAAGACACAAATAAATAATGTAAGATATGTTTATTTGTAACTCAAACATTCAATAAAATTAATTAGACTTTGGTTAGGCATATAGTTATTCAGCTAAAATCATTACTAGCTAATAAATCAAAATAAGGAGGCACAATTGGATAGAAAGAACCAGAAAAATTGTAAAATACTGACTATAATATTTAATTGCATTCTAATATGGAATTAAAATTTCCAACATGTAATGAAATAATTTTTGTCTATGCTTTAAGGGGCATTAACAGTAGCGTTTCAATAAGAAAACGTCCCAAAGCATAACGTAGTTCTGTAGATTCCACAGTCGACTTCCAAACCATAAAGAACCAGCCATCTGCAAAAATTGAAACACATATATTTGAAGATAGTTAAGAAAATATAAGCACTATCAGAATATCAAAATTACATGAGTAAAAATGCACTGTAATTATTTATACAGTTATTCTGTTGCTTTTTTAATAGTGTACTAAGTTAATTCTATTTTTATAATTGCATTCAATTTATCTAAAATTAAAATTATTATAATAATAATTCCTGTTGAGTGAGCTATTAAATATTCAGATCTCATGTGGCTTTGACTCATTTAGGTTTTGGTCATACTTCAAAATCATACCTGTGACTTTATTTAGATAAGGCATAAATTTTACTAAAGTAAGAAATGCCTTTTCCCGTGTTCTGAAGTTCTTGTTTGAAGCTATGTTTTCTCCATCTTTAAGTAGCTTGCGTGGGAAACCCAAAAGAAAGGATTTTGAAGAATTAAAATCTGAGTGGTATATTGTGTTCTCACAAAACTCCATGAAGTTTAGAAAGTCCACGGTGAAGTTTCTTTCAGATACTGAAGAGTACCATGACCTAAAAAACACAATTAAATAGCATGTGTTTAAAAAATAAAATCCTTTCTAAATAAATCTTGAATTCCAAATGTTTTCTTTCCTCCCATGTTCTATTCCTGAGAACTATTACGTAATTTGATGAACAGTACATGAATACAGTTGTTGGGTAAGTCAGAAGAAGACAACTCCCCTGGAGCTGGAGTTGCATGCATGCATGTAACTGGAAATGCTGGGAGCTGAACTCTGATCTTCTGCAAGAGCAGTATGTGCTCTAATCACTGAGCTATCTTCCCAGTTCCTCAAGTTTAGACCCCATGTTTCCTTATTGAATTTTCTGATTCTGGTTGTGAGTACCATGTGATTGCTAGGAATTGAACTCAGGATATCTGAAAAAGTAGTCAGTGCTTTTAACTGCTAAGCCCTTAATCTCTCCAGCCCTTCTGTATTTCTTAAACAATGCAGAGCAACAGTTTCGACAGCATAAAGGAACTGGGTGTGTTATAATCAATCTAGAAATTATGTAAAGCACTCAAAAGAATGCATGTCTAATGTAAATACTACTGATTTTACACAAATTGTTTAAATATCTATTATTTATTTGAAACAGTCTTTTCATGAAGCCCAGCCTGAACTCATGTTCCTCCTGCCTGGGTTTTGTGAATGTTAGTAACAGTTACGTGCCACAAGAGTCAACTGTGTGGATGTGTGTAATTATAGAGTCTAGAACCAATATTCTATGGAATATTGAAATATGGAATGTGGGATAAAAGAAAGTGTGTGTATGTGTATATGTGAGTGTATGTGTGTAATCAGAAATCCAACAACAGAAAATTATTTCATGCTGCATTCATAAGACGTTGCTTATGCTTAGTGAACTACTTTATTTTAAACAGTTCTTTCAGAGAATGTTGTGGACCTTTTTTGGAAAGATATAAATATGTTCAACTGACCTTTCATTTTATTCTTTGCTGGTTTACCAAATGATTAGCAGATTAAATAAATGGAAAATAAACTTCCTAAAACATTCTAGAAAATAGGAGAACTGAATTCTGAGACAAAAATCCTATGTGTTATTGTTTATAGTGCTAGGAAAAAGTGGAGAGAAGGTTGTATAAAAGAAAGCAGTTATCTTACATGTTAGAGAACTTTGGTAATCCAGTATCAATAGCTGCCCGATGGGCCTTCCACATTAGATGGGTTGCTCTATCTTCACTTGTGTTATAAACAGAAACACTGCCAAGAGCTGGCCTCGTGGACTGTAAATACTACAAAATAAACAAGGGGATTTATGAGAATAGAACTCATATAAAACTCAAATCATTTTAATAACTGAGCTCACATATTGGTAAACAGATTACTTTGAAATATTCGTGCAGTTACTTTTAGAGAAATAGATTTTATTATCAAAATAAATTTAAGACTCGAAGGTGTCATTTAATTTTCTTATTTGTTCTATATTCATATTTATGTTAGTTCAGTTGCATAGACAAAATTTGAAAATTACTATATCAATTTTTAAAACTTTATAAATTCAGTCATGCTAAGTTACTGCTAATTATCCATTTAGCAACATTTCAGAAAACCAACCTGAATTCCAGAAAAAAAAAGTATCGTTCTATACATGTAGTTTATCTCCTACACAAATATTAAGCTCAGTATATTTTTCAACTGTAGCTGTAATGGATGTTCTTCTCCATCTTCATATATCCTACTCAGACGAAAAAAGCAGTAATTGCATTGTTTTACCCGATAAAACTCTACGGCTGCATCCATAGCTTCTGGGTATGATGCCCTGCATTCCTTTACAGAATAACAGAAGTCAGACTTGTTTTCCCCTCGAGATGCTAGCATTATCTCATGTGGTACATTCAAAAACTTTGATTCTACTGCAGCAAGGAAATTCATAACAATCACAAAGAAGTTAATACCTGCAATGGAGCAGAAGGAAAGTATCTGGAATTACCCACCACCTACTCAAAATAGTGATATAACAAAATAGATAAAACTCTGCCTAAATAGTTTAGCCACTTGCACCACAAACCATTCTGTTGAAACTGTTTACCCTAGGAAACACAAGCTACTAGAAGAGCTCAAGGAACTTTGGTAGAGATAACACACAAATCATGTCTTTCTTTGTGCTAATATTACATAATAATACAACATAATAAGCTATGTTTTTATAATTATTTTATTTCATTGTGAGAGTACTTTTCATGTACACATGTAAGGGCACTGTGTGATTGCCTTGTGCCTATGAAGACTAGAAGGAGGCTCTATATGTCCTGTCATTGGCATTACCAATGGTTATAAGGCACCATGTTGTGCTGGAAATTGAACCTGCAAGAACAACAAAACTATTAATTACTGAGCCATCTCTCCAACCATGTTATGTTGGATTCATTACTATAATTTTATAACATAATTTGGAACCTGGTATTGTACTAATTCTAGCCTGGCTTATTTTAGTTAGCATTGCTTTGTCTATCCAGCGTCATGATTTGAATTGGGATTGCATTGAATCTATGAATTGCTTTTGGTAGGGTGGTCATTTTCACAGTAATAATTCCACCAACCCATGAGCGTGGGAGGTCTTTCCACTTCTCATATCCTCCTCAATTTTTTTCTTCAGAGACTTAAATTTTTCATTGTAGAAGTCATTCACTTCCTTGCTTAGGTTTATCCCTAGACATTTGATTGTTGTTGAGGCTATTGTGAATGAGATATGAATTTTACTTCGAGCTAACTGTAATAGAATTAAAGTAATTTTGTTCATTATAAAACATGACCATTGGTTTGAAATGAGGATTTAGATAACTCACCTTTAGAATTTTACCTTCAATGGGATTTAATTATGAAGGGGCCTCTGATGACCATTGAGTCTCTCAGAATCAGGCTAGTGTCATGCTCTTCTGTAAGGCCCAAAAGTGACTGAGCTAGTTTGAATACAAGTTCATAAGCAACTTTTTTGTCTATTTGTTTCAGCAGAAGAAAGATTTAGCGGAATAATGGGCTAGCAGAAGAAAACTTTAGAAATCAATGTATAATAAAAAAAGGTTTTGGAATAGAAGGATAAAGAAATAAATTGTTCAATTGCTTTCAGCATCTAACTGTGCTGTGGAAATACTAACGCTGTCATCAAAACTGATTTGAAACATGCCTCTGTAGAGTTTTACTGAACCATGTAGTACACTTCCAAGCAGAATAGATAGTAGTTGATAGAAATAGAACCAACAAGATGGAGAATAAGCAGCTCAAATCCTGAGTACTTAAGGAGAAAGAAATTTATCATTTTCAACACTCAAGGCAACAATGGACTGTGTATCTTAATTCAGAATAGGTTACAGTAAGAACTACTTTTATTTTTTTTATTTCATTTGTACCAAAGAAAACTGAAGAGAAACTTGTGCATCTTCTCTAAGGAAATGGTAGTATTCACCTCAGCTAGTCAATCTCACACCATAAAGAAACAAGTATCATGCCCACAGATCAGTAAAGGCACATAGGACAAAGAGAACACTTACCTCCCCAGCCACTCTTGACTGATATATAGCCAGGCGATCCAGCATCGTAAACATATGCTGAGTTACTGGAAGGGTCTGAAAATCTACCTGCAGGGCAAAAAGAGTAGGTAAAAGAGTCCAGCACAAAGGTTCAGGCTTTTAATAGAGACTCATGAGAATGGGCAGAACATTAAAAAAGCAAATGTAGGAAGAAAGGGTCCTTGCTGGTGAAAAGAGGCACATGGCGTTTCATCTGCTTCCAGGGGCTTTGTCAGTTGGAAAGCAGTCTGAGATTCATCTGCAAAAGTCCCTATTGACACCACAAGAATACTCAGAGAATTAACTAACCTGGGCTCATAGGGGCTCACAGAGATGAACCGATAACCAGGGAGTCTGTGTGGGATTGATGTAAGCACTCTGCTTATATGTTACAGTTGTATAATTTGAAGCCTCTTGTGGGACTACTAACAGTGGGAATAAAGGCTGTCTCTGACTCTTTTACTGGCTTTTGGGACCCTATCCCTCTTACTCAGTCACCTTGCCCAGCCTTAATACATGAGGAGTTACTTAGCCATACTGCAACTTGATATGTAATGTTTTGTTGATATTCACGGGAGACCTGTCCTTTCCTAAACTTAAAAAGGGAGGAGGAATGGATTGGGAGTTTGAAACTCTCCGGCTGAGAGAGGAGGGGAAAGGGAAAACTTCTGCCTGGATGAAAAACAAACAAACAAACAAACAAACAAACAAACAAATAAATAAATGTATCTCTTTTTAAAAATCCTTATGCAGAAGCTTACACTTCACACTTACACTAAGAGCCAAGTCATTCTTCCCACAAAGGCTGAGCACTTCATGAAGCAACAGTAATCAACAGTAACGGAATTTCTGCAACAATATGTGACGTTCTAGCATTGTTTCATTCTATGCTTGCTCTGAGTCTATTCACAGTCAATGAAGACAAGTTGGGAAAAAAATATCACGAATGGGGAAGCTACTCAACTTTAGAAAGCTTCAGTGGTAATAAAACTGATTCAAGGATCTTAGAAAAGATGCACTGGATAAAAAAAATAGCTAAAAACACAGGAAAAAAAGAAAATGACTTTTCAGAAACATGGTTTCCAGGTGAAGCCCTGTATCTCTAAATGGTTACCCATTTTTCTTGTTTCAGTATAAAGAGTGGGTGACTCAGCAACTGTCATCTCACTCTCCTTCAAGAACACCGCAGAAAGTATCACATCTTAGATTTTGTTCCTGTTAAAATGAGACAAAATCCAGGCATTTAAGGAAAAGTATATTCTTGTACATTTGTTCTTTGTAAGAAATTTCACTTTGATATTTTAGTGAACTGATGTTTTGTAATATTTTCTGCAATAATCATGATTCTTGAGATAAAAGTATTTGTAGTGCCAATTTCTCCAAGAAGATGGTCAGGCTGGGCCATGGTGTCTGGGGATTGTTGATTTAGAGGGGATATTTCTTCTCCATGCTATGTGCACCTGTAGCTTATGGAACAAGGATTTACAGTAAAGACTGTACTTCCTCTCATACCAGAAAGATATGAAGTGTAAAGACAAGTATGCTATATAATACTACAGAAATCATTAACCCAAAACCATAGTAATTTCTTCACGGGTGGAGAAATGGTTGTAATAGCAGTAACACTTAAACATATTTCAGAACTTAATAATGAAAAAAAAAGTATTGGAAAGCATTAAAATGTACGTACCTGTTTTATATAGCTTTCCATAAGTTAAGGTGAGAGCCCACAGTACGTTGCCTGTATCATTTGCTCCAATATGCACAAAATATTTGTTTGTTTGTGTTATGAGAATCTTATACATCTGTAGTCGATCCACATAATTCCAGATATTAATGATGATTTTGTTATCCTTCACTGGAAATGCTGCTATATCTCCACTAGCTTTATCCCAAAAAGGAGGATAGGTTTTACTTATAGCTCTGAATGACTCTGAATTTGAGGTCAATCCTACTGCAAAAAGACTGGGTAACAAAAAAGCAGGGATTGCAAGAGCAGACCACATCTTCTCTCTGTTCCTTGAGCTAGATTCTTTGAGTGACAGAGAAGCTCATTATATAACAGCAGACATATCACTTAGACACTCTTATCACTTAGAGGATGCCAGATCTCTGAGCAAAGCATCTAGGGAGCCACTGAGTCAAGAAAGAGCATTTGCCAGTGCGGATTTAATAAATGACTAAGGCTTACTGCAGAATGCCCTAGGTAAGTAGTATCATCATGCTATTTACTACAGATAAAGAAGTGGCCCATTATTCCTTATGATGTAAACTATCTGAAGATGGGCAGCTTCTCCAAAGAAACGTCTTAACTATTCGCTTAAAAATAAATATACTCAGTATTTCATAAATGTTATCTCCCAGACGATATTAACCAATAAAAAAGAAAATGAAAATAAAGAAAGCTATTTTGGATTTGACAGAAAGTAAAGATAAAACTATTCTCTATGTCTGTGTTGTTGGCTTGATAATCTACAGGTAAGAAAGGAAGAGAATTGGTGTTTAACTTTGCTTAACTACCAAGGCCAGTTGGACTAAGACTGAACGAGGACGCGATCCAACCAGATTCTCAGAATGTGGCTGGATTCTCTGAATGTGGCTGGCCCGGAGTCTTTCTGAAAAGCCATTGACAATGACACTGGGACTTATTTCCTCTGCATATACTGGATTTTGGGGATCCAGTCTGTCTGGACACTCACCTTCCTGGACCTGGAGGGAGTGGGGAGGAACTGGAACTTCCCACAGGGCAGGAAACCCTGACTGCTCTTTGGGATGGAGAGGGAGGAGGAGAGGGAGTGGGGGGAGTGGGAGGGTGTTGGGAAGAGGGGCGGAAATGGAAACTTTTATAATTTAATAAAATTACTTTCAAAAAAAAATTTGCTTAACCAACTCTTTAAAATTGGTATTTCATGAGAGTTTTAATCATTCTAAGAACTCTCCAAGGGATATACATTAATACTAATATTTTAAATATTATAAGACATAGAAGACAGCAAAAGATATTTAAGTACTATTTCCACAGGCTTATATGTCATGGATATGCCTAAAAGGTAGATATGAAAATGTTATAAGTGAAAGACCATGGTGTATCTGGAGTAATCTTGCACCCATTCTATGTGATAAATGCAAGACTCAATTTTTAAAGTTTTAATTTTATTTCATTACATTGATATATACCTACATGTGTATTTTAAAGTTCTTGTTAAATAAACTATTGTCAAAACATACATACATTCATGTATATAATATTTATATCACAAATAGAATTAACATCCAAACAGTAAAACTGTCCTTCTCTAACATCCCAACAGTAGTTTCTTCATAATAAAATTGTAAACTAAAGCACATATTATGAAATAAATCATTTAATAAAAATCAGCAAAAAACCACAGCAGTGAGACATTTGCCTTTATTTAGTAACTTAAGATTACAAGAATGATTTTCTGTTGTAGGAAGTCACTTATTTGTTTCCAACTGCCCAGACCACAAAATAATCACTCAGAAACCATATTATTTCAACCACTACTTGGTCAATTGCTTAATTGTATTACTACTTAGCTCTTACATCTAGAATTAACTCATTTCCGTTATTGTATATTTTACCACAAGGTTTGTGACCTACTGGCAAGGTTTCAACTGGCAGCCCACATCTTTCCTCTCTCACAGCTACATGGTGTCTCGTGACTCTGCCTTTTTTCTCCCAGTATTCAGTTTAGTTTTCCCTACCTAGCTCTGTTCTGATCTATCACAGGCAAAGCCAGCTTCTTTATTCATTAACCAAAAAAAAAAAAAAACCACATATACAGAAGGATTTCCCACACGATTTCCCATTTTATGTTTAAATAAAAAGGAAGGCTTTAACTTTAACATAGTAAAATTACATATAACAAAACAGGAATCAAACAAGAATTACAGTTACAATATTTATATCTACTTCATTTCTTATTTTAACTAAGAAAAACTATAATTATAACTATTCTTCAAAGACTCCAGAAGGATATAATATTGCCTAGGTAAACAGGAAGTGCAATGTAAGCAACTTCATAAACTCTAGAATTGACAGAGACACCTTGTTGTTTGGACAATCACCGAAAGTTTTTCTGTACTATTGCAGCATCCATCTTCAGCCTGCAGGCCCATGGTATCCGGAATACTTTTCAATGATGCAGAAAATATCAAAGACCGTTCCACCTATATTGGCAGTTTGTCAGTCACTTTCTTCTATGTCCTGCAGAATGTCTGGTTGACTCTTCAAAGAAGCAGGAATTCTGAAGGACTGTCTCACCATCTTTAGGTAACTTCAGAAGTCATTTTTCTGTATATCATGCATGCCCAGTTCATACAGCATACCATCAAGCAGTCTAGAAAAGATCACTTTCTCACCCAAATGGCTAATAAACTCTATAAGGCATCTTTTTGATGCCCATCATTTTGAAGTAGATTGGTGTTTCCAGGGGCATATGTGTCTCATTGTCATAAAATGTCTTAAGTTATTAAAAAATTTTAAATGCCATTTCTGTAGTCTTTGAAATATCTGAAGAATATCGATATCTCCGTATGTCTAGAAAACCCAATTAATGTGACTACAAGCTTGACTATTTTAGATGATTATCTATTAACCTATATTTCTTAATTATACTTTAAATTTTTAAATGAGTTATACAAACACAATACCTTAATCAAGATACACACACATACACACACACACACACACACACACACACACACACACACACACACACACATATATATATATATATATATATAATTGACCTTAAATTTGTATCACTAAACCAAGATCTATATCAATGCAAGGTATCCATCTCTGTAGCATATCCCCCTTTAAATGTAAGGAGACATTTATAAACAATCATTTAGGGAATTTGGGTGTAGTTCTATCCAAACTGCTTCTCGCTTTCTTGTTGGGTGAAGTAATTTTGGGGGGCATTCACAGTGACCTTTTGAGGGGTCCTGGTCTATCAAACCACATTAGTCTGAAAAGTATCCATAGATTCTCATCCTCTGTGGAAACAAAAGAAGAACCTCTTTTCCAAAACAACATATCCTTAGATCCATATTTGGAAGACAAGACAATTTTAATGTATATATATTGGTTACTTAACTCCTTCATAGTAAAAAACATTCAAAGAAAACACAATAATATACATAATCCAGACGCTCCGTGTATATTCTATCTTACATGGCTTGTTTTTCTTACTCTAATTTTTACAAGTTTAATATTTATTTTATTATCTTTACTCCTTTAATCTATGACTTCTGTATTCTTTTATATTGCATTCACTGTTGCTTTACTCTTTTTCTTTTCTCTCCCAAGTATACATATTTCTTTTTTAAAAACACACTGTGTCTCATATAGAGGTCTTTTATTTCTGAATCTGTCCTAATGTGTATCTGTAATCTTTTTCTGTCCAGTAGTACTTCTTAAAATGCTACGCACGTCTTGAAAAGTTAAGCGTTGGCATGACTCAAACTAATACTTTTTTGACTTTTGGCTCCACCCAGTCTAACATGGTGGAGCTATGCTTACTACCTCTGCAAGCCATACACACCACCCCAGTTCCAAGTATGCAGCAGGTCTATGTTGAGGCATTAAGCACTTTGTAATATGCTTTCTTACAAACCCCATTTAAATGATTCTTGGCTGGACCTCCCGAAAGAGTCAGAGTTGTTTGTGCTGGAGAACTATGATGCCACCGTTTTGAAACCTCGTGGCTTTTCTTTTCCTGCTACTGCTGAATTAGGAAGACCTCTCTTAACAGAGCTGCAACAAGCAGAGCCCATACAAAAAATTTTAAAAAAATGCAACTTAAACTTTGGTTTTTAAGTGTCTAGAATGCTGTTTACTTCAAAAATACAAGCAAAGCTATTCTAGAATGTAATGGAATTTAAAAAGACTTGGAATAAACAAGTATTAATTTTAAAAAACAACAAAATTAAAGAGCTCATATTTCCCACTTGTATAAACTCATTGTAAAACTGGGTATCATTTTCTCTTGCTTGTAATCCATCTGACATTCAACACTTTTGTTCACTGTGTTAAATTTTGGGATAGAATCCATTTTAAATAATTAATCACAACTCTACTGTCAGATATGGAGTAAAAAAATAAGCGACTATGGATATCAGGAAGCAAGCTTATTTACTCTTGCTTTATAGTCTAGAGTACAGATACAACATCCAAAGTCACTTTTTGCAGTGCCATTTATAGTCCATCTTAAAGGAATGGAGTAATTTTAGGTACATTCAAAGCATTTTTAAGTTTTGTGTGTCTCTTCACTTACTCAGTAATTCATATAGCACAAGGACAATGCTGTGTAAATGGGGTAATAGAGTGGGATTCTAGAGCAAAACAGAGTGGAATTCATTATTATCATTTCTGGAGGTGCAGTTAGTCCCTGGAAAGAAAGAAAGGGAGAGAAAGGGAGGAAAAGAAAGAGAGAGAGAGAGAGAGAGAGAGAGAGAGAGAGAGAGAGAGAGAGAGAGATTGATTTAGG